TGCATGTTTTAAGTTTTATTACGTTTAATTAGAAAACGATGCAACTGCGGTTAAACATGTAATTTTTTACTTTATAAGAATAACATAACTTTAAACTTAAAAAAATAAATAAATCATAAATGCTTTGATTCCTTTAATAAATTGATTATGGAATAGTGACCACAGTTTAAGTTTATGCTAATCTGTTACTTACACCCTGTTTTATACAATTTTTTAATTAAAAATTAATTATTTGTGAAGTATAAATGAGATATGAAATATAAATTATACAATATTATCAGGAACAATTAAATGTAATACTTTTTTCAGACAGTTATTTTTGAATATTTCAAAAATTAATTACGAAAAAACATTCCATTCACGCGGACGGCATAGCAAACTAAATGTTTATCTTGTTTATTTATCAATTTCTCGATTTGTTTCTTCTTCGATACACAAATATACAATAAATTAATATAATAATAGGGACGAAACGAAATTAAAAATGAAAAAATAAACAACACCGTATTTACAATATCAGTTCGTTAATACTACCGTGGGCTATAATTACACACGAAGAAAGATTTAGAGAAATCTATACACGCACGACATTTAGATAGAGAATGTAAGATTGGATCATAAATATTGCTTTTATAACAGAAAGTAATTAAAGATAATTTTATAAATATTAATTATAAATAGACTCATCGAAATATTTAAATTTATTCATTTTTCGTCACAATATAAATAATAATATAAATTATTATAAATGTAATTTAAACATAATAATTATGAATAATAACCGAAAGATTATGCTTATTTACCAAAACAACATATTATATTCAAGCAATATTTATGATCAATAGCATTATAATTTTGTTATGAATATTTTGTTATTACATTACTTGACAGAATAGATTCAACACCTACCCAATGGACCTATATTATTATTAATTTTATTAGTTTTAAAAGCGATTGGATTCACAGTTGGAATTTGTTAAAATAATTTTAAAATTTAGGTAAAATGATTGGGTAATGCATATTTTCTTTTTTAATAAATCGCATATTATTATGTATTTCAAATCTACTATAAATTTAGGTACTCCATCTAAGATACTAAATAAGCAGAGTAGCAAAGTCTAAGACGCGCAAAGTGGCGATGAAAAAATTTAGAAAATCTACATTTTATAGAAACAGACATTAGCATAGAAAAAACCTACAAAAAATAAATTCGAAACGAAGAGTTTTGGTCCGAATTCAGGCAGAAGTTGTTTTATGTCTAAAAGAGCTAGAGAGTGAAAATTTAAAATAGGCGAAAGTTTAAAATTTTACTGAGAGTTACTCTTTCGGTTAAAATGTTTAAAATAAATAGGTACCTCATGAGGTGTAAATACATAAAAATGTATAATAATGTCACAAGTATTTTTTGTAAACATGATCAGCAAATATACTAAACGTACTAGTAATGTTTTTTAAATACGGGAAGAGTAGAGTAGAGAGATAATAAGTAAATAGTAAAAATAAAAATACTAATGAATTTAATAAATATTTTGACAATAATTCATAAATTAAAAAGGGTATAGTCACTGCTAAAAATGGGTTTCGTTGTTTCAAATAGTGTAAAATAAACTATTTGTGTGTATATTTCTGTCGCTCTGCGAAATTGTATATTTTAATGAATGCCATTCAATTTTTAGATACCCCTTTTAAATATCTCTACACCTTGTACTCATTACATAAAATTGTAAATATAATTCAATAATGTTTCTATCTATAATAATTTGAAATTATAAACAACGCATTTACTTACATCTTAAAATAAGCACTCTGAAAATAAACACACTTACAAATAGTGGCAGTACTATCCAGTGAATACTTTATGAAGGTGTCCACACATCACGTTTAGTTCAGGGTTATTTATTTTGGGAACAGTTCTTTAGCACATTCAAGCTGCCATTTTCCCCAAATGCTATTGACCCTAAGTAGTGGAAAATAACCGGAAAAATTCGTTCTTTCACGTTAACCTACTGGCTAACCGAGTTGTTTTGAATGAGCAATATTCTGTTTTCCAGTTTCTTTTGTTGATAAATAACACTTTGACTACTTGTTTCTAAATATTGAATCAGTGTGCAGACACCGTACCACCACAAAATGCTTTAACCTGAACATTTTATATTTTCATTCAAAGCTTAACGATAAATATGCGTTTGTCGTTGCCTATTTACAATACTATGTTAACGCTATACTCTCTATGATATTATTTACTTTTGTTTTATCGCAATTATACATGTTTTGAAACACCACTAAATTGTTGGTAGCTTCCTTTTAAAAGGTTGGTATCCCACAGAGTGCACACTATAAATATCCGAGGCATAAAATTATACATATATAATTTATATAAAAGAATGTATAATTACAATAAAACAAGTAACATTGATTTTATTTATAAATCTCTACGTGTAGTTTATTGAACACCGTGATCTGAACAAAACTATGACCATTGGAATCTATGTACATTATTGTACATAATATGAGAGCATGCTAGCATTAAGGAACAAGTATAAATAGCTTTGAAACTTAACATCTTCGAAGAGGTAAAATCTAGTTTTGTAGATTAACATACTTTTTCACGATACCATTTACATTCTTCATGCTCAACAAAATCTGTCTATATTTATTTTTCTCTTAACTAATTTTCAAGATAAAAGTAAGCAAAATCATACACTACTTTTAGTAGTTTTGCTAACAAAATGATTACCAGTCCCAAACATTTTGTAACACAATAAAAAGCATTATTTTTCCACCAGGAAAAGTCTTCAGAATAGCCAATAAGAACACAAAAGTTACGTATTTTCTTTCAAGTCACGTGACTTATAAGGTAAAGGTTAAAGTTTAGTAAACAAACACACGATATAAGGAAAACATTTGATATTTGATCAAATATTGTTTCAACATACTGATTGCGTGTCAGAGACTCGGGACATTTTCTTCCAAAATGTTATATCAAAGTTTTACCCAAAATGTATTGTATGTTTCTCATATTAGGCTGATCGTTGAGTATTAGAAAGATTTTTAGTACCAAGACTCTGTTTTTACTTGATAAATAAACTCTCAAGATGTCTTTAGAGAGCAGAAATGCTTGGCTCTACATAAAATAAAAAAAATATTGTTCCGTACGTTTTGTTTTGTCACTTGCATGTGCTTGACCAATATTGAAAGTTCTCCCTTCTAAGTCAGTTAGTATCGACAGTCGAAATAGAACCAAAAAATCTCGTATAAAAATCACTGCTGTTGTTTTTAGTTATCAAAGACTTCTAGCAAAAAATAACTTGAACATTAACAATCGTGAAACACAGAAAAAATATAGATTTTCTGCCCTTCATTTTGAAGTTCACCTTGACCTCGTCTAAATCACGCAACTTTCAACGTATTTATTTTTAGAAACAGCCTTATACATGTATTATACTTCAGTATATTGGCCTTAGAAAACGAACACGATCCAATCTGGAGCCAGCAACATGGCATTATGAACATGGCCCGTCATCCAAAATGGCTTGTCCATTTTATGCGACAAGAGCTAAGGTTTGTTACGTATGGTGATAGCAACTCATTGCTTTTGCCATACTCATATACAGTGTGAGTCACGTTAAAGTGTACATATGAAAATAGATGAAACTAGACCTATTTTTATCGACAAAAAAGAGGTTAAAATTTTTTTGAGATTTTTTTTAAATTTTTTATAGAATTTTTTTTCTACCAATTACTTATTGTAAAGAAAACGTAATAACTTTTAAACTAAGCGGTATATCCTGATAAAATAAAAACAGTAATAATGCTAAATAACAGGCAATAGTAAAAAAATACATAAAATACATAAAAAATGCCAAAAAATAATAAAAAATGATACTTTTTGAAAAAAATCTGCTTAAAAATTCGTGTTTTTTTGGTTATTTGATAAATTTCTCCAAAAAATGCCCCTATAACAGGTGGTTTTTATTATTTTGTATCATTCTCTATCGTATTACCTTTGTAAAACCAAAAATCGCATGTCTCTATCCCTATCACTACATTTGCTATGATCGTTTGAACTAAGCCTCTCCGGGCGCGCCATTCAACGCTTCGTTAACAACGAAACTGAAAATGGCTCTAGATTTGTAATTTTGATAAAGACAAGTTAGATTTCAAGTAAAAACAAAAGATTTCGAAGTAAAATAAGCATTTTAGTTAAAATTAAAATTGTCTCTACCTGTAGAGGTTGTGATAGGCCTTTGTTCAAACTATCATAGCAAATGTTGTGATAGGGATAGAGACATGCAATTTTTGGTTTTACAAAGGTAATGCGATGCAGAATAATACAAAACAATAAAAACCACCTGTTATAGGGGCATTTTTTGGAGAAATTTATCAAATAACCAAAAAAACACGAATTTTTAAGCAGATTTTTTTCAAAAAGTATCATTTTTTATTATTTTTTTGCATTTTTGGTGTATTTTATGTATTTTTTTACTATTGCCTATTATTTAGCATTATTACTGTTTTTACTTTATCAGGATATACCGCTTAGTTTAAAAGTTATTACGTTTTCTTTACAATAAGTAATTGGAAGAAAAAAAATTCTATAAAAAATTTAAAAAAAATCTCAAAAAATTTTTGACCCCTTTTTTGTCGATAAAAATAGGTCTAGTTTCATCTATTTTCATATGTACACTTTAACGTGACTCACACTGTAGATTGCCTTCAAATACAAAATAACAAGATGCCTTACGTGGCAATTTTAATACAATTTCTAAAATAACTTGGCTCTATTGTTTTTGTATGTGTAGCGATTGCGAAATTGCATCTGTAACGAATTTTCCTTAGTACCTATAAGGGGGCTAATCCATTCATTAAAAGTTTTGGGATTAAGGGCTGATAGTCGGATAACTTTTATCTGAAGAATAAGTTTGACATATTGAAAGTTTCAGTATGGAATATATGTCAAAATGACAAGTTTATTCTTCAGCTAAAAGATATCTGACAATTGAAAAATCCGCCCTAAGTTTCACAGTGTGAGTAAGTTATTATTATATTGCTCGTAAGACACGACACACAAAACTCTATCTAACGACTGGTTGCAGGTCGTTGTTAGAACTATTCTTTACTGTAGATATTTGATTTGATAGCAACAGCTAAGAAACTAGTTGCTATCAAACTATACATAATACTCCCACTCTTTGACGATTTATAGATGCAATTTACGATCGCACGTATCTTCCAAAATCCGAAGTAGTAAAATAAAAATATTCGAATAAAACAAACAAACGAAATGACTTTCCTGGAAGATAATTTAACATGTACTTGCTTCTGTACTTAATTTTCCGTTAATTAACATAAAGGACCTGTTAATTACGTTTACTTTTGACCTCAACAAATATTTTGCGACTTTTTTAAGGTAACTCGACCTGTTAGCGGCCGTTACTGAATAAACGACTTTGCAATTAAACTTCAATGAATTAATAATTCGAAAAAAGTACTGCCATTTTATAAGACGTCTAAATAACCCTTTACCATAATTTTAACAACGCTTTCAAAGTTGTCTTACTTGCCAGTCTAATGAAACTGAATACTATTCCAATTTCAAATATTTCAATATGGCGTAGCCTTAAAGGTATAATAAAAATATTATTTATGCAAAACATCTAAATTTTCATTAATACTTTTCCAGCTGACTGTAACTCTATGTCTACTACCATAACGGTTATTTTACGTCGCACTTAGTCTAACTTTAAGTTTTTACCACAGCCTTCAAGGCTACATTAATTATTATCAGTTGGATAAAATTTTATAAGATAAATATTTAGAGGAAGAATGGAGTTGAAGAAGAAATCTGTACATTTGAGCACATATTTTTAGGGTAACCGACCAATATTCTACAGTTAGAAGTTTAAAAAAATATTCCTAAAGGCTAAAGGTTTTCGAATGAGTTATTTAATTTTCGATAAGAGACAACAGTTATTGAGTCCGTATTCTAGGATCGTCCGAATTCTAATTATTAAACAAACCTAAAAGGTCATTAGGCCAGTATAAAACAAGTTCATTTATGGTTATGGTCATGGTTTTATGTTCTTCAAATAACGACTGGTAGCAATTTGCTGAATTCTAATTTGCTTACACGATTGGGACAGATGCGACCAATCCAAAAATACGTCTCCTGAATCTTTTTAGATAGAACTTATTTGAACTTAAAGTGGTTATCGTGTATCATAATTAATTGAAGGAAAACCAGGTCACGCTTGCTTGTTAGGCAACATCTTGACCTATCAATCAGTAAGTAAATTGATACTTAATAGCTAGTAAAGTAGTACTTGTAGGACTTACCAAATGGAATCAGGTACTACTTTACTCTTTCAACTTCGATCGCTATGCAATTTTCTCTTTTCTTATTCATAATGAGCCAGTAACTTGTCACTCACAAACGGATATGGGCTCCTGACAACCGCACATTATGCCTCTATCGCGTATGAAAAATTGATATTTTTCCAATTGCCCAACGACTTTCTAACCTATGATATCGCTTTCTTTCATCAAAATCATGGTGGTATATTTCAGTATTTGGATGTATGAGTTTTAATTGAGTACCTAAACTAGAAATAAAAAGGTGTTAAAGTTAATTTCCCTTGAATGACATTCAAGATTTTTTTACAGACACTTTTAATACACCTTAGTTTCTGTCACCGTATTGTTGCTTCATTTTTAAACACAAAAATTATTGACCTTTCTAAAAAAAATTAAGTTTTACAACCGAAAATTGCGTAAGGTACCTTAAAATTCCTCATGACAGGCAATTTTTAATCACCAAAAATTTTCCAAGTACTGAAAAAGTCCACATTGTAACACAATCAGCTTCAGTCCAAGCGAAGCATCAGTCAAAACAAAACCTACAAATACTAGATTAAAACCCTTGGATGACGTCGTAAGCTTCCAAGCTGGAAACGGTAAGGTAGAAGAGCCAGAGAGAGAAAAGGAAGATGGAAGTAACGATCTTGGCGCAACGAGGGCCTCCGAGCTCGCCACCGATGGACTTGCGTCTTCTGAGGACCAGGACCAGCACAGCGAGGCAGGCTTCCGAGCAGAACATCGTGACGCTGAAGGCTAGACTGGGGACAGAGATAATAGGTTCATTATCATCATCATTTCAGTCATAGGACGTCCACTTCTGACCATAGGCCTCACTCAATGATTTCCATATTCTAGTTGGTAGCGCCGCCTTCCTGTTACCTTTATGAGGTTGTCGGTACACCTTGCGGGTGGACATCCCACGCTAAGCAAGGTTGGTTGAAATAAATACAGGTTCATTCGTTGATGAGGAAAAATCAAGGAACTACAAAGAGGTTGGATGGTCAGAATCCTTGCAGCGGCAGATTGCGTGAGAGTATCACTATAGTGCCTTAATAGGCCTATTGCTGTTCTTGTCCTGGATTGTAGTTTGTTCTGTCTTTTTTTATCTTTCCGGCCGGATCAAAGTTACTTATCAATTGGCAGAACAAACTCAGCTCCTCTAGGTCTAAAGAGCTTTTTGGCCGTTAAGCCCTGTCAAGATATGTTTAACTTACTTTCCAGGATCAACAAGGAACTTCTCGTTCCTGCTCCAGTGCACAATGGCGGCGACGGTCCAAGCCACCCCGATTCCCAGGAAGACGTTGACGGCGTTGGAACCTGTGACGTTGCCTACGGAGGCGTCCGCGTACTTGTCCTGGATGGCTGCTACTTTGCTGGCGAAAGTATCTGGGAGAATAGAGGAAATATTTATGTTCTAATTTCCAAAAGGAATTCTGTTCCTGGTTTAGACTCCCTGCAGACTACATAATAATAAGTCGGCCGATATTTTGGTCGGCTTCTAATTCGTACGAAGAATCGACAGATTCCAAATTGGGGCATCGAGCGTACTTTTACACAGTCAGGTTCAAATACTGATTAACAGCCCGACCGAACTTTCGGGCGACGATTTTTCATAGTTTACGGGGACAACATTGCCATATTTTATTTTTAGAAAAGATTTATCCTCTGATCTTACCTAAGAGATCCTAACTTGAGCTCGTAACGTTTTTATAAAATACTATAAACGGTAATAAACGTCATTGTTTATGAGAATGGATGGAAGTTTGGTATCCCTTCTTTGGACAGATTTACAATGAATTAGGTGCCTTATAACATCGGATAATGAAAAACTATGAATAGTCAGTTAGGCTACTTTTTTAGAAATCTACACTGAAAGATGTACACAACCATTATTTACTATTCATGTTTCGCAAATGTTGAGGACTTTAAGGCAGTAACCTTAAAGTTGGATGAGAATGCCTTATGGCATTAAGTTCGCCTAATGTTAATATTTTTGGCATTGAAGTATAAATAAATAAATAAATAAATATTTAAGGCTGAGTTGCAATACCTAACTTTAACGCTAACTATGACGATAACCGGTGCATTTTGTATGGAGTTTGACAGATTTTTGACGTTTGTCAAAGTCAAAGTAAGATGGTGCAACCCAGCCTAAGTAAATAGTCTGCCTGAATAGTCATGGCTGTCATTCTAATACATGAATGGTAATTAATGGTTTTATCAACAAAAATTTTTAAACATCAATCATTACCTGGTATGCTAGTCCCCAAAGCCACAAAGACGATGGCAGTGACCGAGTCCTTGATGCCGAGGGTGCAGCCGAAGTGAGACGCCACGTCGCCTATGACGGCCGTCACGAGCCCGATGCAAATAATGGACACCACGAAGCAGACATAGCCGCCACCGATGTCTGTTGAAGAATAAAATGGTCTTTATGATGTACCGTATAAAGTCGATAAACACAAGAAACATATTAATAAGCTTAACGGCACAGTGGCAGTTGTCACTGGTTTAAGGATAGAAAAGATATTATATTCCAGAAAACCCGGAGAAATAAAATCTGGAATACTGTCTTGATTCTTAGACAAAAAATTATATCTTTGGACATTTTACACTGCGCCTCTAGTCCCAAACTAAGCAAAGCTTGTACTATGGGTAGACAACGGATATAAACAAACATACATAATACTTCAAAAATAAATAAATCCCTCAAATTAACGGCATATTAAATGTTTTGCATAATTTATACTGAGTTTGTTCCGGCGTTTCTTCTCAGCACTTGCCATATGTTTGTCTCGAAGCGCTGGTAGGGCCCAAAAGATAAGGAGACATGTAAAGTGCCCCATAAGGGCTACCTTTTTCTTTTTTTATTATTTTCTATTGACGTTCATAAGTGCCACTTGTGGTCTAAACTGAATAAATATTTTTTGATTTTGATTTTGATTTTTATAATTCTTCGAACCGGATCAAAGTTAAACTGTTTGATCCTTCGAGCCGGATCAAAGTTGTACTTACCAGTAGGAGGAACGAAAGCGAATATGATCTTCCAGAAGAGCGTAACTACGTGAAGTATGTAATCAGACCACGATGGTGGTTCATCAGGGTCATCTGAACCTGTAAATTAACAAATCCTTAACATATAGGTATTTCATTATTGTTGTTACATTTTAGGATAAAAATGTTGTTAGTTGCGCGAACTATAGTAGGTGCAAGTAAGAGTTATTTCAATTATGATAAAAAAACGCATACGTAGTAAGTTTAAATAAAGCTTACAATATCTACTTACGTATGACATAGTATTTCATCGTATTTGTCCCAGTAAACCACCTAGTTAATATGCCAACAATTTCTGTGCTTCCTGCAGTACCTACCTAATAGCAATTAAAACGAAATAATTAAATTTACCTGAGCTGGCAGTCAAAGCTTCTGTGAACTGCTCCTTCCACGACGAAGTCCCAATTATAATGGAAGCGTTTGCTCTTTGGACTAACTTATCTACAGTGTTCTGTAACAAAACAAACAATTTAATGGTTATTATTCTACTTTCTTGGAACAAGTCTGGTTCAGAGTGTGGAGGTGTCGGCTCTAATGATGAACTAAACCATTGATTAAAGTTCAGTCTGTGTAGGCGTATTTTTTAAAATAATATGACAACAGTCCCCAAAATTTATTTAGATACTTTTGAGGCCTCGTTACGAGTACATGAGATATGACCATGATATGACATATTAAATCTTGGCTTATAGATCTTTGGCCATTATGAATTAATGGTGGCTTATTAAACTACGGGTACCTACTTTGTCTTACTCTGCCCGTATCCAAGTGCTTCCCGCTACCTTCACCAGATCTTCGGTCTACTGGGAATCCCCTTCTTATACGAGGCTTTAAATCCAGTTTTTGTCCTACTCTACCCGCATCCAGGAGCTTCCTAGCCTTCCCCTGGGATTCCCCTATTTACACAAGGCTTAAACTTCACCTTCGGAGTACTGACCTTAAACCCCTGTATAAGTATACAAGGCTTTAAATCCAGTTTCAGCGCACTGACCTTAAACTCTTTGCTTTCCTTAATCCTCAGCTGTGCTCGGGTGATCTCCCCAGAGCGAGGCAGCCCCATCATGGCCACCACCGCCTCCTCCTCAGGCAGAGTCGCCAAGTGCGTCACTTCGTCGCCACTGCTGGACAAAGGCCTCCCCATGGATTTCCACAATGACCGATCCTACTCTGCCCGTATCCAGGTGTTTCCCGCGGCCTTCACAAGATCGTGTGTCCCCTACTTACACAAGGCTTTAAATCCAGTTTCAGAGCACTAACCTTAAACTCCTTGTTCTCTTTAATCCTCAGCTGTGCCCTGGTGATCTCTCCAGAGCGAGGCAGCCCCATCATGGCCACCACCGCCTCCTCCTCAGGCAAGGTCGCCAAGTGGGTCACTTCGTCGCCAGGCACAACAGGATGGTCATCGTCTGGTGAAGGAATTTAGACTTAATGTGGGTAAGTTATAGCACATAATAGCTTTAAACGTACTCTGACGCCCGTATTCACAAACATTACTATGAGGCCTCACCGTGCGTGTGAAGCACAGGGTGACACACGAACCAATCACAAAGCTCTATTCAACGTTGTGCGTTCGATTTGCTGCTTCACTTAAGCAAGCATCGTTACTTTGTGAATACGGGCGTGAGAGATAATATGCCATGATAATTCAAGTTCACATTTACAATTTACATCATTATCATCAGGTAATGTATAGAGTTCCAAACTATACACAGTGTTCTGTACTGTACAATGCGTACCAAAAACGGATATAAAAATACTAGAAAACTCTGAACAATACAAAAACATAATAATTAAGTGGATTGGATGTTGTTTTTCAGATAAAAAAATCTAAGCTACATGCAGCATGCCACAAAAACGGTTTTTTATACAATTATGCTTGTCCTTATGCTTCAACTTGTCCTAATGCGATCATAGGCCAATGAGGCAGGTCGCGCGGACTGTCATGGGTCGCGCGAACTGTCATGGGTCGCGCGGACTGTCATGGGTCGCGCGGACTGTCATGGGTCGCGCGGACTGTCATGGGTCGCGCGGACTGTCATGGGTCGCGCGACCTGTTATTGGCCTATGATCGCGCCGGCGATGGCGATCTGCACGCGTTGGTGTGGTTGAAGCTTTAACCGGCTTTGAAAGCTTTTTTTATTGTTTTTATATTTATTTTTGTAACTTAATAGTAACTATTACAACAAAGTAAGATGCCGCAGTATTTAACTTGATGTGCCGTACACACTACACCGCAATTTGCAAGATAATTCCTTTGGTGTTAGTTAATTAGTGTTTTCAAGTTAATTGGAGGTAAAATGAGACATGCAATGCATTTCCAACAAGTGTTAAATTGTTTTTAACACTTGAACGTTGGTAATTTGAAATTGTTATACTTTCGCCACTAAAAGGTTTTAAAAAATAGCACAGCCGTAAAATGAAAATAGACCTTTGAGATGATTAGGCATAAAAATATCTCTTTAATAATTAATTATGGTTTCATTATGTAACAATAATTCAATTTTGAAAATTGCGTTTTTTTGTCTCTCACACTTAGACGAACTTGATTTAAAAAAAAATCATATTTGATAACATGAAGCAACCAATCAAATAACTGTAACGCATTATCGTTATTTTAACGAACTGATGCAAATTCTTGCTGACAATAAAACTTTAAGGCTGAGTTGCACCACCTTCCTTTAACCGTAACTATAACAATAAAGGGTGTTTTTTGTATGGAGTTAGACAGATTTTTGACCTTTGTTAAAATTAACGTAAGATGGCGCGCAACTTGGCCTAAGTGTCACTTGAAAATACTTTTAATATTTAGCTAAATCTTTTCTAAACGACATATGTAAGTAATTTTAGTAGCAAAAGCAGCTCATTTAGCCGAGACGGTGTCCATAGAAAATCTGCCACCATTTCCCCGTAGATTTACGGCTGCTAATGAGTGCATTCAAGGCGAAGTAGGCCGACGCTTCTATCGAAGCAAATTACGGCATCAAGGTAAAACGGTTTGAAGTTTGTGATTTAAAAATTATAGAAGTTAGACAGAAAAAAAATGTCATTTTTTAACTTTGCAGATTCACCAACCAACTTAAAACTCCACTGCATCACCTGTAGGCCTAAGATACGCGCCGTGATAACTTTTATCGACGTCAAATGTATGGGGAAAATCGATAAAATGGCATGATAACCGCTTATCGCGGCGCGCATCTTAGGCCTACTGGTCATTTTTAATCTCTACCACAGGATCACAAAATTTGGCCTACACTCTCCAACCTGCACTGGCCAGACAGGTTGGGCGATAATACCAATAAAAAAAAACCGGCCAAGTGCGAGTCGGGCTCGCACACCGAGGGTTCCGCCGTACAAACGTAGCGGTTTACAATTTATGACGTAATTAAATCAAATTACTTACTTGATTCCGTTGCGAGTAGTGGCGAATTTCAAAATATGCGGTATGATTATTTTTTATTTATTTATTTTTCCTATATTTGCATTATAGGTAGGTACCTACCTCAGCGTTTTGAATTTTTGCGTTGATTTAGAATTTCTCACAGTTTAGAGGCAATTAGATTTAAGAAGTGTTCGATATGAATTTCAACTTTAATATCTCTACGCGTTCATGTGAAAAAGGGTAGGTAGTAAGTTTATAATTATTAAAAAAATATTTTATGTCATGTAAGCAAAAATAATATTTTAAATTTTATATAACTTCAAATTTATCATTTTCGCAATTTTTCCTTTATCTGTACTATATAACGTTGCTTCGTGCCGAATTTCAAGATTCTGAGTTCACAGGAAGTATACCTTGTAGGTTTTGATTCCCTAGCGTGTGACGGAAATTCGTCTAAGGTGTCGGTATAAACTGCTGTATCTTTTGATCGCGTTAACTTAGAAGTTTGATTTTTTTACTTCTTAAAGGGACAATAGATCTAGGTATTTGGTATAAATTTCAATTTGATACCTTTATTCGTTCGTGAGAAATAAGGTAGTAAGTTTCATTTTATTAAAATATTTTTATTATATTATATAACTAAAAAAATGTAATTTTCGCAATTTTTCCTATATTTGCATTATATGACAATGCTTTATGCCAAATTTCAAGATTCTGAGTTTACGGGAAGTATCCTGTAGGTTTTGATTCCTTTGCGAGTGTCGAAAATTTGTTGAAAATATCGACATAATCGGCTGTATCTTTTGATTGGCTTGGCTTAGAAGTTTGATATTTTCACAGCTTAAAGGGACAATAGACCTGAGTATTTCATGTGAATTTCAGCTTGATACGTTCACGCGTTCTTGAGATAAAGGGTCTTGACAGACGGACGGACGGACAACAAAGTGATCCTATAAGGGTTCCGTTTTTTCCTTTTGAGGTACGGAACCCTAAAAAGATACTTAGTAGTAGGTACAAATTACTAGATCTCAAGTAAAATTTTTCTGTAAGCAGTAGATAGGTACCTAAAAGTTAACTAATGTTAATGAGCATTTTTTTCAGCGTATCTAAATTTATGCTTTATTCTCAGCGGTCTTAAGCCTGAAATCACTTGGCATACCGCCAGTAACACCCTGTATTACGCCGGTACTTACATTAGCTACAGCCTCATTTGCGGTTGAATAACAAACCGTGCTGGGATTAGGTTGGGAAATTGCTAAGCGGCCATTTGTGTTAACAGATTTGTAATAAAATACTGCAAAAATGGTCGATATCTCTTGCACCACAATGATAAGTATCCTATTATATTTTAAGATTACAAAAAATCATAATAAATATATCTATTTCGATAGGTACGACCGACATCAAGGTATTTCTTATGTGAAAGGAGCGAATAAAAAATAGTGAAAAGTTACTCAGGTTTTAAAGACGCCTATGCACCTAATTTCTATTTGACGTTAATTTAGGAACTACACTTTGCAATCAAATTCAAATTACTTACAAAGACAGTTCATTGGTTCATGTGCGTTGAATTTAATGTTCTCGAATCTGAGACATTGCCTGCTAGCCTTAATATATATTTTTATGTTACAAAATGTTGTAAGAAAACTCTTAAAACGAATAGCGTGAAACGCCTCAGGGAATTCAAACGAAAATCTGTAATTAAAAAGATTTTAGGTACGTATCAAATGAACCAAACTCGACCTCAGTAATGATTGTAGAAGCGAAACGTTTAGTGACCGTAAAAGTTTAATGCCTACAAATGCCTTGTTTAACTAGAAGTACAGTCGGGACCAAAAATATGGGGTGAAATAAAATTTGCTGGTAATAAAAACTGCGAATATTTAACTGTTTCCTTTCAAAATTTAAATGAAGTCCGTTTAAAATAATAGGTGTTAAAGTAAACGTGCTAATTTTAATGTCCAAATGTTAATTTTTATTCCACCGTTTTTTAATGTTTCAAATATAAGTGCCTACGTATTTCAAAAAGTTTTACTACCTACCCTTCATTACTTTAACATTAAATATAAAAATCTAGTGTGTGTTTTACGATTGCTGTGAGTACGTAACACTGATAAATAACACAATAAAAACGTTATAGTTACAATAGTCCTACAACTAGTTTTGAGGTTACTCTAAGGCCCAGAACACACGGTGAAACGCTACTGCAACGAAACTGCAACTTCTAGTTATTTTTGAGTTGCATTTAAGTTTCTGCCATAGCGTCCATTGAGAGACCACACATGACGCGACCAGTTTGAAACTTTCAGTTTCAGTTTCATTCATCAGAATCATCATAAAGTTGCAGTTTCTTTGCAGTTGCGTTTCACCGTCTGTTCTGGGCCTAAAAGATAATATTCTATGACTTCTTTTCATATAACACCGAACAAAATTCAAATACGATATAATATTTTCAAGGACCTGTTCTGAAGGAGCACCACATTTTTTCCAATGCCAATAACAGTCCTCATTTATATGGAGGCCCATATTAGGCTATTTACATGCCCTTTTATGGTATAACCTTTCTTATTTACATATTATGCCACACACTTCTGGTACTGATTTAGAGGCCAGATTTTTATTATAAACTGCTGTTATTTACTGCGATAAGTAACCGAGATTTCTTTTTTACATAAACTATTTGTATTTTTTATTTTCTTACTTGAATCTATGTATGAATATGGGATAATATAATATCAATACAGTAAAATAACCTCGCTATAAAATATTTTGGTACCTACAGTTTTTCAGTTTCCTAGTAGCTTTTGTTTTATTTATTTATTTAATAGGAAAACCAATAATTTTATAATTATGTAAGGTACAAGTACACACATAATTAATAAAGTACCTAATACTTTTATCAAAATACATTTTGTAGAGTTAACTCAAGGCTTTATAAAACACTTGATTTTCTTTCCAAATAGATCTGCAAATGATTCGTGGGTTGAAGCAATCAAAACCCACTCAGAATTGGAAAAATATTTTAAT